CCCAATGTTACATTATGTGAGCTTTCAAATGATCTTCTAACAAATAAAAAGGGATCACTTGAAAAACAACAGCTCTGTTGAATATATAGCAGCTGCAACTTCAGTTAGGGTTTCCACAAAAACCTAGGGTTAATTCCGTTTGACCTAAAGACCAGGTCACAGGACTTTATTAACCAGGTTAGGGTTGAGCTAGGTTACCCCTCAGAAAACGCAGGATTCTGTTCAGAAAGGACTGAGTTATTTCCTGAAAAAACTCAGACTTATCCAATCCTGCAATCCTGTTAGTTCAGAACAGGATGTCATAACATCTGTTATGACATCTGAGAAAACCTGTCTACTGATTTAGCAAAATGTGATCATTTTGCAAAAATGCTCAGATACACACTTATAAACATCAGTATTTAAATTACAATATTTTTCTGCAAAGGTACCTAATGAGTCAGTACAAACTGAACTAGAATGTTATGACATCAGTCATGACATTCACACATACACTTGGGATTTACCAAAAATGCAAGCCAATACCTAAACACCTACAGCGCCATGGTAGCTTTGTTTCATGATATGATACATCATGAGATAGAGGTCTACGTAGATGACATGATAGCCCGATCACAAACTGAAGAAGAACACCTTGATCACTTGCAAAAGTTGTTTGTCAGGTTGAAGGAGTACAAGCTCAGATTGAACCCAAACAAGTGTACATTCGGAGTCCAGTCCGGTAAACTCTTAGGTTTTATTGTCAGCAACAAAGGCACCGAGGTTGATCCTGCCAAAGTCAAAGCTATACAAGAAATGTCTGATCCTCGCACTGAGAAGGAGGTCAGAGGTTTCTTGGGACGTCTAAACTACATTGCTAGGTTCATTTCTCACCTAACATCTACTTGTGAACCAATCTTCAAGCTATTGAAGAAAGATCAAATAGTTCGATGGAATGATGACTGTCAGATTGCTTTTGATAAAATCAAGGAGTATTTGCTAGAACCTCATATCTTGATGCCACCCGTCGAGGGAAGACCACTAATCATGTATCTGACCGTCCTAGAGAATTCAATGGGGTGCGTACTAGGGAAGCATGATGAGTCTGGCCGAAAAGAGCATGCCATTTATTACCTTAGCAAAACGTTTACTGACTGTGAAACCCGATATTCACTGCTCGAGAAAACTTGATGTGCTTTGGTATAGGATGCTCGCCGGCTAAGGCAGTACATGTTGACTCATACCACTTTGTTGATATCTAAGATGGATCTGATAAAGTACATCTTTGAGAAGCCTGCTTTGTCTAGAAGAATAACTAGATGGCAGATGATCCTAACGGAATATGACATACAATACACGACCCAAAAATCTATAAAGGGGAGTGTGCTAGCTGATCATCTAGCCCATCAAGCTGTCGAAGATTATCAATCCATGAAGTTTGACTTCCCCGACGAAGACATCATGACATTGGACAACGTTGAAGATATTAAACCATATGACAGACCTGAACAAGGATCCCGATGGACCCTGTACTTTGATGGGGCCTTCAATGTACTTGTTAACGGTATCAGTGTTGTGCTTATATCTCCGGAAGGATACCATACTCCTTTCACTGCTAGACTTTGCTTCAATTGTACAAACAACATGGCAGAGTATGAAGCGTGCATCTTTGGACTCAAGGCTGCCATAGACTTGGGAATTAAATCCTTAGATGTGTTTGGGGACTCAACTTTGGTCATCGGTCAGATCAAAGGAGAGTGGGACACTAAACATCCAAACCTCATCCCTTACAAAGAACATGTTTTGACATTGTTACCACATTTCGAGCAGATTACCTTCGAGCACTTCCCGCGAGAAGAAAATCAGCTAGCAGATGCTCTAGCTACAATGTCAACTATGTTTAAACTTAAATGGGATAATGAAGATCCCCAAATTACTATTGAATGGGTGGACGGACCTGCACACTATCATGAGATTAATATCGAGGAAGTAGTGGACCAGACGTGGTTTCATGAAGTCAAAAGGTATCTCGAGGCGCAAGAATACCCTGAAGGAGCTTCAGTCAATGACAAAAAGTTCTTAAGGAGATTCTCATCTAAGTTCTTCCTAAGTAATGGCATCCTGTACAAGCGCAATCACGATTCTATTATGCTCTGTTGTGTGGACAAGATTGAAGTTGAAAGGATTATGGCTGAATTGCATGAGGGTACCTTTGGCACTCACTCTAGCGGGCATATGATGGCTAAGAAGATTCTACGGGCAGGCTATCACTGGTCTACCATGGAAGCTGACTGTTATCAACACTCCTAGACTTGCCATAAATGTCAAATCTATGCAGACAAGGTGCATGTGCCTCCAGTTCCTCTAAATGTCTTAACAGCTCCTTGGCCCTTCGCAATGTGAGGAATCGACATGATTGGAGAGATCAAGCCTACAACTTCCAATAGACACCGTTTCATCCTGGTGGCCATTGACTATTTCACCAAGTGGGTCAAAGCAGCTTCCTTCACATCCGTTACTAAGAATGTTGTTGCCTGTTTCATCAAGCAGAACCTTATTTGCTGGTACGGTATCCCCGAAAGGATCATCACCGATAACGGTACAAACCTTAATAATACTATGATCACTGCCTTGTGCGAGCAGTTCAAGATTTAACATCACAATTCACCCCCTATCGGCCAAAGATGAATGGTGCAGTTGAAGCTGCTAACAAAAATATCAAGAAGATCATACAAAATATGACAGTCACCTACAAGGACTGGCATGAAATGTTACCGTTTACTCTTTACGGGTACCGTACCATGGCACGCACATCAACTAGGGCAACACCTTATTCCTTGGTATATGGCATGATGGTTGTTTTACCTATCGAGGTTCAGATTCCCTCTTTGAGAATCATGAAGGATACTGGTTTGAGTGAAGACGATTGGATTCAGACCCGACTTGATCAACTTAACTTGATTGATGAAAAGAGGCTTACTGTTGTTTGCCATGGTCAGACGTATCAAAAACGGATGATCAAGGCTTTCAACAAGAAAGTCAGACGCTAGGTATATCAAGTTGGAGATCTGGTAATCAAGCGAATCATTTTTCCACAAAGTGATACCATTATGGACCCCCAAGATTACTCATTTCAAGTTTCAAGCCTTGGATCACACTTTTGATTAGTCAATTGAATAATTGACCTAAAAATCAGATGTATTATGGAAAAAGTCAACCATGACCAATTTACAGTCAAACTTCATAATTTTTTATCCACATCAACATTTTAAACCCATATGTATCATTTGATCAAGTTTGGACCATAATTCCTCAAGAAATTTGATCAAATCTCCAAAAGGGCAAAATGGTCAAAATTAGGGTTTTGACTGGGAAAGGGCAATTTCTGATTTTTTTGACCTAGAAATTGATCAATTAGTTTGAAGCATGATTTCAAGATGTCAATTGCAACATCTTAACCTAATGACATGATTCAAAACATTACAAATTCATTGGATTGACAGATGAATTTTTCAGTCAACTGTATACTAAAAAGTCAAACCTTGACTTTTTGGTCAAATTCAAGTGTCAAGGATCACAATTCATCAAAACAAGTCAAAATGTTAAATTTGTTCATCAAGAAATCAAGGATTGAAGATCTTGTTTTGAAACTTGAAATTTTTTAACTTTAGAAAATTTTCTAAGTATAGAAAATTTCTTATTTTTTCTCAACTTTAGGCCAAATTTTCACCATGATACAAAATGATTCAAAGGAAGGTCCCAACATGAAAGTTGTAGATCTCCATGAAATCTACAACTTTTCTTCATACAATTTCTCCTAAAGATGATTGGATCTCAAGATATAATTTTGTGAATACATGCTCATGAACTAAAATAACTTAGTGAAAATTTGCCCTAGTTAGGCAGGTTCTTGACCTAACTTCATGACAACTTTTCACCTAGTTCCAAGAGAAATTTTCAAAAGTATTTCAAAGATGGGTTATATAGAACATTACAAGCTTTCCAAAATGTCCAAGAAATCCTTGAGATCATTCTTGAGTAGGGAGAATCAAAGAGATGAAGTTAGGGTTTTATCACTTTGATTATAGGTCATTTTCATGAAGAACAAGTTTTCAAATTTGCAATTTGGCTGTACAATCTTCACTTTTCAGGACTTAAACTCGTTTGTCACGCCACCATTAATGAATTGCACAAGGTTTCATTCCCTAAAGCCAAGCATTCAATGCATTGTACAAGAAAATAGCCATTTTGGAAGAAAGGCAACATTGCCATTTTCGAAAAGCATGCCTTTTGCATTTTTCCATTTTCTTGAGCCTTGGACTTGATCTCTCTGCATAAACCAAGTCTCTAAACCTGAACAAAACATGTTTAAAGCTTCAAGACACCATACAAGATCAGAATCATGCCTTAAGAAGTCACTTCTCACACTTGCTTAAAAAACAAGAAATGTAGCAAGACATGTGATCTTGTACTTCTGAGCAAGCACAAGTCCTATAACCTTTTGCTCTATATAAAGCCATCATTTTGCAACTAAAACCATGCATGCCCAAGACTTTAAGTACCCTAGAATCAGAAGTTGCATACCAAGCCTCCAAACTTGTCATTTCTGACTTGTGAACTGAATCTTCCATTTCACTCGTGCGTTTTCAGGCCTTTTGCTTTCCCAAGCTTCCTTACCTTACAAGTAAACCATCCCATACCCTGAAACATCATTGTAACTCCATCTTCCCCATTTTTGAAGTTCAAAAATAGAGTAACACAAGTGGACTTCTCCAGACCATTCCAGCCACCCTCAAGACAAGCTAAGCATTGCATTAGCTTCCCAGAGGTTCAAGGAAGCTAACCTGATCATCACAACATCCTAAAGCAAGCTCATTTTCAAAACATGATTTCCATTTTCAAGGTGAGTTTTATGTTTTTCTAACTCTTAATACAGGCATAGTTAGCTTTCCATTGTGAAAGAGATAACTGAGCTTGAACATTGAGAATATTGGTTATGGTGGCAGAACAACGATGTTGACATGTATAATAGAATGGTTAATGATAGTGATGTTGTTAAGGTATATCAATATGACATGGAAACGAAGAGTATAATGCACATATATGTTGAGCATAAAGGTAATGTTCAAGAAGATGGAGTCGATGGTGTTCAAGAAGGTGAAGTAGGTAATGTTCAACAAGATGATGCAGATGATGTTCAACAAGATAATGTAGGTGATGTTCAAGAAGATGAAGTAGGTGATGTTCATACAGATGATGCAGGTGATGTTAATACAAATAATATAGGTGATGTTAATACATATGATGTAAGTGATGTTTAAGAAGATGAAAATGAGGATAATGGTAGTGGTGAGGATATTTACTTTGAAGTTGATGGTTTATCATTTGATGATAGTGAGGACGAGAGAGCTATTGGGTTAGATGATTGCTTTGAAGACCAAGACAGAAGTAGTGGAGTAAAAGTTGTAGCAATGAAGGACAAGCTCACTCCAAAGAAAGTTCCATACAAGTTCATCTAGTAGAGTGTATAATAAGATGGACATCAATTATTCTAGTAAAGAGCTTGGTAGCAGTGGCCCTGATGCTTATAATGAAGATAAGGATCTAAAAAATCCAAGGTTTTAAATGGAGGAGTTGGACAAGAATTACAAGTTCAGAGCGGGACTGGAGTTAATAATAGATGAATTTAAAGAAGCAATTACTCAATGTTCAATGCACAATGGGAGAGAGATAAAGTACATGAAAAATGATAAAGTTAGAGTATGGGTAATTTGTAAGGGCAACTGTGGGTTTTTGGCACTAGTAAGTAAAGTTCAGAATAAGCACACATATATAATGAAGAGATAGGTTGAAACTCACATGTGTGGTGGGGTATTAAATAATAGTTCAGTCAATTCCAAGTGGGTAGCTAAAATCATGGTGGCTAAAATGGCATCTTCTAATGGTGTTAAGATTCAAGATATTATTTATGAGATTATGAGTAACTTTTCTATTAGGAGTGGCTGTCAAACATACCTACCAAAGCATGGTGTAAGCATGTTTTTACTTTTTATCCCAAACGCGATGTACTTATGAATAATGTATTTGAGGCATTTAATAGCTCTATATTAGTTACCAGAGATAAACTAATATTAACTATGTGTGAATGGATAAGAAACTACCTCATGAATAAGAATGCTAGCTTAAGCGAAAAGGTTGATAAATGACAATATGGCAAGTGGAACATATCCATACATGATGCACCTGTTTCTAATACTCCTAGAGTTCTAAAACCAATTGAGTTTATTTAACCATTTGATAATGACTTGAACCTATGGATGTGTTGTACCTATTGCACCTCTAATATATATTTTTTTTTTTTGTGCAGAAGACAAAACCAATCAAACAAAAGATTGTAAGGAAATTAGAGTTAAGGAGAAGTGATGGGACAAAAGTCCTTAAATGCAAAAACCTCAAAGGAGAAGGAAGTGGTCCATCACAAACTATGGATGTGTAGAAATTAAGCATTTTATTATGGTTTGTCATGGTGTATTTTATTATGATTATATCATGGTGTATTTTGTTATAGTGTATATTTGATGTATTTTGAGTTAAATTTATATGCCTATTGCCTTTATGTTAATTTTAAGACACGAACCATCATTATGTTATCTATATGCCTACATGTACTATTGTATTATGCAAATAAATCACAAACATACATGAATGATATACAAACAAATTATTATGAAACATGGATGAAATACAAACAAATCATTATGAAAATTAAAATGCCACAAAAATATATGGACATACTTTATTAATTTCAAAGGTTCTTATCCATTTAATAACTAAACATTACAAGGACGGCATTTCACAATTATCCTTCTTCTAGGTACTAAAACAAAAAATACAAACACCATGAACATCAATCTCACTATCATTTATGGTAAGAAAAGAACAAACACCATGATACAATCAACAAAAGCTTAAACAAATTGACCTTCATTCTTTTCATTTTTCAACTTCAATTTCATCTTCTCTTTTTTCTTTGCTTCAAGGTCTTTAATGATGCAACTTAATTCCTGTATTACCTTTGCGCAATTACAACCAATTGAATTTTTGAATTCATTTGATGTGTTGCGTTCTAACTCATCATCCCATATGAATAACTTGCAACTTGACATTACACCCGAATTTGAACATTTCCAGAATTGTTGTTTAAGGTTTTCAATTGAATTTGAGATGAACATCCCATTGCTCTATTGCAACCACAAACTGCGATTTGAGACCGTGAGCAATTACCTACCGATGATGCTGCCATGAATGAATGTGCATCGACCTTAACCTTAATGATGTATGAAGAGGAAGAATTTGCAATAAAATGATTTGAAGCGAAGAAGACGATGATGCAAATATTATACTTTTTTAGATTTAGTGCTCCTTTTTAACCCTCCTCTACTAGGTATTCCACATGTCTAAGTTATTATATAAAAGAACAAATAAATTCATTTTAACGTCAGGGACGTTAGACATCTCAATATTTTTTAAACATACTTTTAACATCAGGGACTAACACAATTAAGAAAATGAAATATAGAGGCTCAGACAAAAAAAAGATTTAGGGACCAAATTCAAAAATACGATAACTTACAAAGATCAATAAACTATATAAATCTAATATTTTTATAAAAACAAATCATACGAAAAACAAATGTCATTAATCCTAAAAAAGGATAAATTACTAATTATATTTACCCTCAATTTACATTGATGACAAATTTTTAAATTTGGGAAAAAAACTTCAACTAAAGAATCTAGAAAATTCTTATGTTATTACCAAAATATCTTTAAATTGAATTAAATTCTCAGTTACCATTCTGTCTTTTCTTTACATAAGCTTATACTGATTCTCCTATACTTATTTTTTTGTTAATTATCTATAATTAGTTTGATTTTGAGTTGAAAAATAATTATTATTTTTACAAGTTTTTTGGGCGTAGGCATTCTTTAAACTCAATTTACTTAGCCTTGATCACAGTCAATTCACTTAAATTTATGCAAACTTAGTTTAAGTACATTTACACAAATTTAATTGACATAAATTAAAATTTTTATACGCATGTGAACGTATAATAGCACAATGATACATGACTTTTGTCACTCAAAATCTATAATTAAAACTTTAAATTACTGTCAATCAATTAATTATTAGTTGATTCAGTGGTGATTGACACTAAATCTAATAGGAAAGACCACGGTTCGTAACTATTGTAGAGAGGATTACAATTCAATTTCCACAATTACAATCGAAAAGAGACTGAAACTACTTGATGTCGGAACTGACCTCCGAACCGGACTATACCGGTGGTAAAAAATGAAAAAAAAAGAAAAAAGAAATTAACGGCTGTGGATGCAGATATATGTTGTCTAACTACATACGGGCCTGGCCCATTGTGTTGAAAAGGCCCAATATTCCTAACCCTAACACAGTCATCTACATTGGCACTGCAACTCAATCGGATAGTAGCCGCGGTTTCTTCTTCTTCATCCTCAATCAAATTGCACGAAAAAGGTACGCCAAAACCCTAATTCTCCAACTCACTTTTTTCGCCGTTTTATGGTCACAATTGAGTTATGAGTTAACGTCGTTACTTTCTTATAAGCTGCTCAGAATTTTTCTTCTTCATCAACTTCAATTTTCAGAAAAGAGCACGAATCGCACGAAAAAGGTACGCCGAAACCCTAATTCTCGAACTTTTATTTTTTCTAAGAAGAATATTATCTTTCGCTGTTTTATGGTCACAATTGAGTTAGGATTTGACGTCGTTACTTTCTTATACGCTTCTCAGAACTTTTGAAAAACAATGGCTTCGAGATTTTGGACTCAGGTATGATAATTTTTAATACTCTTATTTAATTCCGTTATGCGATTGAAAAATTGATTCTTGTTGTTGTTTTTCTTGAATGTTGAAATGGGATTTTAGGGTGACAGTGATTCGGAAGAAGAGGAACAAAGTGATTATGACGAGGAAATTGAAAATGCAGCAGTTGAATCTGCTGCAACTCAAGGCAATAAAAGCAATTACTACCTTCAGGGTAATGCAACTGACAGTGATGATGAGGATGGTCAGAAGCGTGTTGTTAAATCCGCGAAAGATAAGCGGTTTGATGAGATGGCTTCTACCGTTGATCAGATGAAGAATGCTATTAAAATCAATGATTGGGTTAGCTTGCAAGAGAGCTTTGATAAGATTAATAAACAGCTTGAGAAAGTTATGAGGGTTATTGAGTCGGTGAAGGTTCCTAATCTTTATATCAAGGCTCTTGTAATGCTTGAGGATTTCTTGGCCGAGGCTTTGGCCAATAAGGATGCTAAAAAGAAGATGAGTAGCAGTAATGCAAAAGCGTTCAACTCGATGAAGCAGAAGTTGAAGAAGAATAATAAGCAATATGAAGAGTTGATTAACAAGTGCAGGGAGAATCCTGAGAGTGAGGAGGAAAAGTATGAGAAGGATGAGTCTGATGAAGAATACGAGAGTGATGGTGAGATTATTGAGCCTGATCAGCTCCGAAAGCAGGAACCAAAATCAGATTCTGAAGCTGAGTATGAAGATGAGAAACCTGATGCTGATGGTGAAGGGGCTTGGGATCAAAAGCTTAGCAAGAAAGACAGGCTTTTGGAGAGACAGTTCATGAAAAACCCTAGTGAGATCACATGGGACACTGTTAACAAAAAGTTCAAAGAGGTTGTGGCGGCTAGGGGGAAAAAAGGAACTGGAAGGTTTGAACAGGTTGAGCAGCTTACATTCCTAACAAAAGTGGCTAAGACTCCTGCGCAGAAGCTGGAAATTCTTTTCAGTGTGGTTTCTGCCCAGTTTGATGTTAATCCTGGCCTTAGTGGGCATATGCCAATCAATGTGTGGAAAAAATGTGTTCAGAATATGTTGGTCATTCTAGATATTCTAGTGCAGCACCCAAACATAAAGGTTGATGATTCAGTTGAACTTGATGAGAATGAAACTAAGAAAGGGGCTGATTATGACGGACCCATTCGTGTCTGGGGTAACTTAGTTGCTTTCTTAGAGAAAATAGATGCTGAGTTTTTCAAAAGCCTGCAGTGCATAGATCCTCACACACGTGAATATGTTGAGAGACTCAGGGATGAGCCCTTGTTTGTTGTCCTTGCACAGAATGTCCAGGAATATCTTGAAAGGATTGGAGATTTCAAAGCTTCCTCTAAGGTGGCCTTGAAGAGGGTTGAACTCATTTACTACAAATCACAAGAAGTTTATGAGGCAATGAGGAAATTGGCTGAGATGACAGAAGATGCAGATGAGGAGAGTGAGGAATCAAAAGGTTTTGAGGATACAAGAATTCCCACTGCATTTGTTGTTACCCCTGAGGTTGTAGCGCGGAAACCCACATTCCCGGAGAAGAGCAGAACCTTAATGGATGTATTAGTATCACTAATATACAAACATGGAGATGAGCGCACGAAAGCTCGTGCAATGCTTTGTGATATATATCACCATGCTCTTCTTGATGAGTTCACAGTAGCCCGTGATCTGTTGCTAATGAGTCATTTGCAAGAAAATGTTCACCACATGGACATTTCAACACAGATACTTTTTAACAGGGCTATGTCACAGTTAGGCCTATGTGCTTTTCGGGCAGGGCTGGTTTCTGAAGCTCATGGCTGTCTAGCTGAACTCTATTCTGGTGGAAGGGTGAAAGAATTGCTTGCACAAGGAGTTTCACAGAGTCGTTATCATGAAAAGACTCCAGAACAGGTACTAAATCCCATATTTATTTTCAAATGTATGTTTCACATAATGGCTTTGCTAAGTGCATACATGTGCTTATTATTATATATGATGTGTAATGATATAACTTCAATATATCTGACATCCATGCTCTAAAGAAATCCCTATTTGATTTTTCATTGAAGGTATTTGATGTTGATCTAAATTTAATCAAAGGGTCTCTGTATTCCATGTCGAATAAATGTGCTTATTATATATCATGTTTACTGATATAACTTTAATAGATCTGACATCCATGCTCTAAAGAAATCCCTAGTTAATTTTTCATTGAAAATATATGTTGATCTGAATTGTAGTTGGGGCTCATTATTTATCATTACATTCATATTGTGTAGGGTTAATCAGTTTTGAGGTTCAATAGTATTACTCAACTCTCCTAGTTTAAACACCAATTAGCTCTGCTCTCTTTACGGCTGATTTTCATATGAATCACACACATTTCTTTTGTTTTTTGTTGCTAAGTTTGCTTTTTTTCATCTACTGTAATTTTTAATTTTTTTCTAGTACATATTTCCATACTTAGGTTCTTTCATCTGTCTTGAAAATGTGGAAGTTATATATCACAGTTCAATCTTTTTTAATATTCTTTCAGGAAAGGTTGGAAAGAAGAAGGCAGATGCCATATCATATGCATATCAATCTCGAGCTATTGGAATCAGTGCATCTCACATCTGCTATGCTGCTGGAAGTTCCCAACATGGCAGCCAATGTTCATGATGCAAAGCGAAGGATCATCAGTAAGAATTTCCGTCGCTTGCTTGAGGTCAGCGAGAAACAAACATTCACAGGTCCTCCCGAAAATGTCAGGGATCATGTTATGGCTGCCACAAGGGTTCTTATTAAAGGAGACTTCCTCAAGGCCTTTGAGATTATTGCATCTCTTGACGTTTGGAAATTTGTGAAAAACCGAGACACCGTGCTAGAAATGCTCAAGGACAAAATCAAGGAGGAGGCACTTAGGACATACCTATTTACCTTTGCTTCATCATATGATTCTTTGAGTGTGAATCAGCTCACAAATTTTTTCGAACTCTCTCTTCCCCGTGTTCATAGTATTGTCAGTAGGATGATGGTCAACGAGGAGCTTCATGCAAGCTGGGATCAGCCATCTGGGTGCATTATTTTCCGAAATGTGGAACACTCAAGACTGCAGGCTTTGGCATTCCAGTTGACTGAGAAACTATCTATCCTTGCAGAGAGTAATGAAAGAGCTACGGAAGCAAGACTAGGCGGTGGTGGGTTGGATCTGCCTCCAAGGCGAAGGGATGGCCAGGATTATGCCGCCGCAGCTGCTGGTGGTGGAACATCTTCAGGTGGCAGGTGGCAAGACTTGTCCTATTCTCAAACAAGGCAAGGTGGTGGACGCGCAGGATATGGTGGAAGGGCATTGCCGTTCAATCAAGCAGGTGGGAGTGGCGGCTATTCAAGAGGACGCGGAACCGCTGGAGGTGGCTATCAAAGTTCAGGGAGGAATCAAGGGGGTTCAGCGCTGAGGGGACCCCACGGAGATGCATCTACCCGCATGGTTAGCCTTAGGGGAGTTCGAGCTTAATGTTGCATTTACTCGCTACTACAACTTTGTTTTTCATTTTTGTCTCGTTTATTATGCACTTCATCTGTGTTCAGATGAAAATTTTATAAGGATTTATTCTACATGTTCTCAATTTCATTTCCCCCACCCATGACACCTCCCAATGTTTTTAGTGGCGATAAATGAATGAACGCTTGCTGATTTGACTTCCATGTTATTTTTGGTGTGGTTTCTCATATATCTTTATGTACTGCATCAAACTAGATTATATATTTTGACACAATTTTCTTAAATGACTTTTTTTTAATCAATTTTTTTATTAATAATTCTAAAACTTAATAAAGACAATGAATGATGAATATAAAGAAATTACGAATAAAATGAAGAGATATTTTATGTTGCATGAAAAACAATATAGAAAATAGGAAGAAATTAGAAGTTTCCCGTTTTTTAATTGGATGATGGGTGATGGGTGTGAAGAAAATAAGTAGTTGTTTTAATATCATTTTTAAACAATTACTTAGACATAGTGTGGTAAATGGTAAGATATCTAGTGAAGAATAATGCCGGTAAAACAAATTTTAACACATTTTTTAGAATCCTCTCTTTAATTGGCGATACAATTTTTATGCTATTAAAACAATGGTATAACAATGACACTTTCATTCAAAGCCAACATGTGTTCCTAATCATTTTTGTATCAACATTAATAAATGAGAGGAATCGCCCTTCCACCCTTAGTTGTGTTTGTTAAGGTTTATTTAGTTGAGTAACTTCAGTTGTTACGAGGAAATAGTTTTTTAGCCTTCTCGCCGCGTTGACGAGGGCCAAATCCACCTTCTCGATCTGTTGGTATCTGACCTCGGGTCCCTGAAGCGTTTTTCTCGTGAAATACACAGGTTTTTAATCGTCAGGAGTCTCGCGGATGAGGGCCGCACTAACGGCTTCGACGGAGACGGTCAAATACAGGAATACCGTCCTCCGTCTAATGGTCGTGATAGTACGGGCAGATGTGAAAGGCTCTGCTTGAGATGGATGAGGGCTCTCTCTCATTCCTCGGTCTACTCAAAAGCCGCCTCCTTGCGCAGGAGTTTGAAAAATGGAAGGGCGTGTTGAGCGGATTTCGCGATGAAACGGGAGAGCGAGGCCAGCATACCGTTCAGGACTTGTATGTATTTTTTTGAATTAGGTGTAGAGAGTTCGGAGAACTCCCGACATTTTTCGGGGTTGGCATCGATTCCTCATTCTCTTATGTAAAAATCGATGAACTTGCCCGCCTTAACCCCGAAGGTGCATTTCTTGGGGGTTGAACCTCATTCGACATTGCCTTGCTTGGGCAAATACTTTTCTGAGATGAACAGCATGGTCGGTGTCTACTCGAGATTTGACGATTATGTCGTCCATGTATACCTCGAGCATATCTCTGATCTCGTTGCGGAATACTTTGTTCATCATTCGCTGGTATGTCGCCCCTGCGTTTTTCAGACCGAATGGCATTACGTTGTAGTAATAATTGTCTGAGCTGGTCATGAAGGAAGTGCAGTGCTTGTCACTCATTGCCATTGATATTTGGTTATAGCCCGAATATGCATCCATGAAAGATAAAATTTTATAGTCGGTCGAGTTGTCGACCAACATGTCAATATTAGGCAAGGGGAATGCATCTTTGGGGCATGCCCGGTTAAGATCGGTATAGTCAATGCACATACGCCATTATCCATTGTTCTTTTTGACAAGTACAACATTTGACAGCCAGGTTGAATACCGGGCTTCAGAAATAAAATTTGCCTCTATGAGGTCTTTTACAGCTTTTTCAACAACCTCCGTTTTCTCGGGGGACTGCCTACGCCTACGTTGTACTATTGCCCTAGCGGATGGATCAATGGCGAGTTGGTGACAGGCGACCTCGGGGTCGAGATCGAGCATCTCCACAGCACTCTACGCGAACAGGTCTGCATTCTCCCTCAAGCAAGCCTTGATCTGCTTCCTCGCCAGGTCGGGGAGTCTGGTGCCGATCTTCACCCCTTTGTTCAGGTCTTCACCGAGAGGGGCGAGCTCGAAGTCCCCATCCGAAATTGGTCAGAAGAGCTCCTGCTCTCTGTTGGGTGCTTCGTCTTGGTCGAAGTGGGTGTCCAATGAGATTGACTCGACCTTTGGAGGAGCACTTTGTACTTCTGCCTTGACGAGTTGTGGCTCTGGTTGCGCTGTTGCAGCTCTCTTGGCGGGTCGTGTCCCACTGTCGACTGTGCTTTGTCCCTTGGCCGCCGCATTGAAGAATCTTTGGGAAACTATTAGGTCGCCCTAGATGGTGGATATGCGTGCCTTTTTTGTGTAGAACTCCATCTTCAGATGGACGGTGGAGGGTACTGCAGTCAACTCTGTTAGTGTCGGTCTCCCTAGGATGCATTTGTAGAGAGACGGACAACTGATGACCAGGAAGCGCACCTTGATTTGCATGGTGGTGGTATCTTCGTCGAAGGTGACTATGAGCTCCACGTACCCCCATGGCTTAGAGGTCGAGTCGTTAAAGCCCTGTAGGTCGGACCCCATGTATGGTGAAAGGTGAGAGTCGTCGAGTTGCATGGTTCTGAAGATCTAGTTATACATCACATCGGAGGAACTTCCCTCGTCGACCAAGATGCGATGAACATCAAAGTTATCCATTCTCACCCTGATCAGAAGAGGGATGGCTGAATTGGGGGGGACCTCCGGGAAACTCCTCGAGGTAAAAGGTAATCGGCTCTGATCTGCCCTTAACCCTCTCGAAAGTCACTGTTTGCAAGGGGGGGGGGGGCGTCGACCAGCTCGTCCAACTTCCTCTTTGTGGAGTTTATAGTTATATCGTTGAATCCCCCACCATTTATGACCATGGCGGAGGGGAACCTTTCCCACCTACTGTGTGTGGTCAGAGGTTCTTCGATATCTTCGGGGACATAAAAGTTCTTCGGTCTTGTAACAGAGAATGTTGTCTGGATGAGGATTGTCTCGTCTGATGGTCGGGCATCCTCTTCAATCTCCTTGGCGTCACGGGTATCTCGACGAGGGGCGTCGTCGCGCTGATATTGCCCGAGTCTCCCCCCTTTGATGAGGGTCTCAATAGCATCTTTGAGATGGACACAGTCCTCAGTCAAGTGTCCATGACTTCGATGATATTGGCAGTATTTACTTCGATCAGCCTCGGGCTTAGCAGGAGCGGAGCGAGGACGCTTGACGTTGCTGTCCTTGAAATCAGTGTTGGCACACTCCGCCAAGATGCGCTTGCAGGAAGCCGTCAACAGAGTGTACTTGGTAAATTTCCCTGAGGGTCCTCTTTGCTCACGTGGATCTCAGGGTTTGTCATCCCTCCTCTTCTCGCTAGTTAGTCGAGGAGGGCCGGATTCTTGTTGTCGCAGATTGCTGGTTGATCCACGATTTCTGGGGTCCCGGGCTCTATTGGCCGCTTCCCTCTCCCCATAGTCCATATATGCTCTGGCTTTCTCGAGGAGGGCATCGAATATCCGGCGTGGTTCGATGCCAACGGCTTTTCTGAATTTCGTTCCCGAGAGGAGTCCCCTCTCGAGCAAGTATCTCTTCATATGATCGGTACAGGGGACCTGGATGACTTCCTGGTTGAATCGATCAATAAATTCCCCCAGGGTCTCGTCGTGTCTTTGGACGATGGCCTCGAGGGCTGCTTCAGTCTTTGGGTGTCGACGTGAAACAGTAAATGAACTGATGAACTGGTTCTTTAAATTTCGCCAGGAGGTGATTGACCCCGGGGCGAGACTCTTGTACCAATCCATCGCAGCTTTACTCAAAGTCGTGGGGAACAACCGACATTTGATTGGTCCCCCGACATTGTGATAATGCAGCATTGCCTCGAACTCGTCTATATGGTCGATCGGGTCGGCAATGTTGTATTCCTTCAAATGGGGAGGCTTCTCCATGCCCGGGAGGATGGGTGCCTCCATAATGGCTTGTGACAAGGGACCGTGGGAGTCGTCTTCGTCACTCCTGTCTGGAGAGCGAGAAGGAGATCTGATGTAGTGGTGGTTATGATGGTGGCCCTGGTTGCGCGGAGCGTTTCTCGGGCGATACGGTCGTTCGTTATTTCCCGTGTTCCTGTCTCTAGGGGGTCTTTGCTCTTGACGTGAAGGGTTGTGATTGCGCCTCCCCGTGTCTACGGGCTGGTCCCTCTCCAACGCGGGGTGTCGCCCGATTGATCGAGAGGGGCTTCGGGAGGCGTCCCGCCTGCGCCTCCGCGGGGAAGATTAGGGATGTTCCTCTACTTGGCGAGGAGGAGGAGAATGGGGCCTCCTATGTCTTCTGGGGGCTCTTCGAGCGCCCTCAATCTCTCTCCTTGAGATAAGATCAGATAATTTGTTTGGTTTATCGCTGCGAACAGTGCCCTGGTCGTGGCATCTGCTTCGACGGGAACGAGGACCTCCTGGAACTGGTTGGGTTGGTAGTTCTGAGGAGGTGGTCGATCATCTTCGAATCGTCGGGACAGTGACGACGATGAGGCAGACAGTCTGTCTTTGTACTCTGAGAGGCTAGGTATGCCGGGGTGGCCGAGGTTGATATCGTTATTAGTGTTGAGGCCAGTGGGAACAGCGTTATGGCCAACATGACCAGTGTTATTGACGCCGACGTTATTGTCGGCGATGTTATTGTTGGCGTCGGCGAGACGAACATTCATGTTATTTTCTGCTGTTTGATCAGCCATGACGGTCAGAAAGGAGTGATTTAGCTTTTATCTTGTGTAAATGGAAGACGGGGAAGCAAGTTTCTCACAGACGACGCCACTGATCGTACCTGATCAGAATGGACCGTCACAGCTTGCTCCGAGCAGAATCTGAGAGTGAGGTGGGGGTACCTGCAAGACACTTTGATGCCAAAGTGAGTTTCGAAATGAACAAGCAAGTATGAGAGTAAGAAATGTTCAATACCTAACCCTCTCAGAAGAGAGGGTATTTATAGCCCCCAACGTTGGGCGAAGGTCCCCATTGTTGGGCCAGGTTGAGGCCCAATAACGAAAACTGTCACGACTTACGTGTGTATGAAATTCAGCAAGTGGACTTTCCCCTGGTCAACTGCTCCGCGAGAATAGGAGTTGGACTCGTGATTTCCGGAGGGCAGTTAAGATGATTGACATGAGGACGTGGGTCACGTTCTCCAACAGATATGTGGAGAGTTGTCCAACGGTCCCTAACTTAGATTGTCTGTTTTTGAGCCTTATGCAAAAGTGTTGGTTTGAACATCCCATCCGAGGGACAAGTGTAGGCCCAATCCATATCAGGATGGAATAAGAAATTCCTATAACTTAATGATAGTTTGCCCACCGATTGCTATCTCAATTCAACCATTTTTCCTCTGAATTTTAAATCATTATTACATTTTCTAAAGGCTCCACGTAAGATAAAAAAACTCTTTCCCTTTGAGGCATGAGCTGTTGAAAGAAAAAAAACTTGAAAGATCATGGTGTGTTAACATGTCTACCAACAAAAAAGGTATATATGCAATTGTAAAGTTTTAATTAACAAGCAAAAAATTATAAAATCATATCTAAAAAATTGTAACTTTTCAGTGTCGCAAACATGCCTGCACAACTATGGCGGAGGTTTTTTCTGTTACATGAGAAAAACAATAACAAAAAACTACTCTACATAAAAACATGCCTAGAACATTAAAGCTCAATATAAATCAGGACAAAGACTTTTGAATCCAATTAGAGATCCTCTACATTTACCCCTTGAATCCTAACAACAGGAATCGAGCTTCTGACTCGAATCTTGGCCAGAATGCCTGCCTACCAGTACCACACGGCTGATCAATACTCAATGTGATACCAACACACTGGAAAAAAGTTGGGCATTTCTCATCCATCCCTGCGAACATGAACGGGTATTCTTGTGTTTTTTGTCCTCTCATTGTTGATGTAGCTGATAGAGATAGTTTACCAGAGTCACATGAACTATAAAAGTGAGATAATACAGATTGCAGAGCAATTTCAGACATAAAAGTGTAATCTTAAACAAACACTTATCATACCATATCATGAATACTATCGAGTTTCATTCTGTATTAGATAAGATGTATCAAAAGGGCCTAAGAAATATACATGAAAACACACTCCTGAGCAAGAATAGAAAAACAGCTCCTTTGACAAATAAAAAAAATGAGAATCATAGTATTATAATATATAATCCTAGGAACTCTTTTTGTAGCACTCTTTCTCAGATACACCCGACAATTTACAGCCTGCAAGTGAGCAACAAGGGAGGACAAAAACAAAACTTGCTAGGTGTGCAAAGCCATAAATAAGTTCTGTTTACGGGCATGTTCTGGAATAAGCCGGTTGATGACATCAGGTGGAATACCAGAAAGTTCTGCACCAATTAATGAACATATAAGTCAGGAAGATTCTTGATTCACTAATAATTGTAAAAATATTAGTGACTTATTTTCACACAGAGAATAACTTTAATAGAAAATAAAAACAATAACTTTTTCCGACAAAAAGTGGCCCCTAGTTTCTCCAAAAGAGTAATCCTATACTCCACAACATACTGGAGGGAAAACCGAGATGAAATTTATACACTCAAATATGGAAGAATGTACAATAATTGAATGGTAAATGCAAACACAAAAGAAGAACAAGTATGAAAACCTTTATGATTAACAACAACCTCCCATCATAAAACTCGTCCTTTTTTAATAATAAAATAGAAACTAGTCCTCATAGTTATGTATTATGCATATGCAAAATTTAACCCAGACACAATTTCCCCCAATTAAGGGACTAAAGCAATTTTTTTGCTTTTCCTTTCCTCCATTTGAAACACAATTTACTAACATATCATGACAATGTTAAGACAATTACATTAATGGCTTAAATAGAGTTGTTTCTAAGAACTTCAATTTTAGATTGTGCTCATTTCTGAGCCAAGGTAGTACTTAGACTCACCCTGAGGTTTGAAGTTAAACAGCGGAGGCAGTGGGCGTCCATTGGGAAGGCGGGTGCTTGGATCTCTCAATTCATCAAAGAATGGGTGAATGCAAGCTTCCAACTGCAGACACAATATGGCAAGCATAAAAAAATTTATTCTCCAAGACAAGAATAGAAAACAAGTACAAAAACCGGGGATGCTAAACTTACAGCAGTGCATCTCAAATTAGGAGAGTACTGAAAGAACCTACAGACAAGATCCACCGCTTCTGGAGGTAAACGTTTCTGAAAGACCTGTCAAATCAGGATAACATCGTCGTCAAGCCTTCTTGCAAACAAAAACCCTTTTAAGTAATGTAGGCTGGACATCCACACACATTCTTTTGTATTTGAATAGCTTTGCACCCATGTGCATTACTGGGACTAACTTATAATAATATCAATTCAACCCAACCAACAGCCATTAATGCATATCCCTGATTTGGAAAATGTAGCATAGAACAACTTTGACTTTTAACAAAGTACTGTTCATCTCTCCTAGCATCTCCAGACAGGGTACTAGGACATGTCATCAATATCTACCTACACTAATCTAGCATTAATCTCACACGGCCCTTGAGACTTTTCAGCACTGATCTCATCCCATGCCAGATGGTGGGTCAGACATATAAAGATAATACTTTACGAATTTATTTATTATTTTCTTGAAAATAGGAGAAAGGAAATATTATTATTTATTTAGGGAGACAGGGAAGGTCATACAGTCTCTAGTAGGGATTGAACTCTGTCCCTTTGGGCTACAACACTGCGCTAACACCAATCAGATAAAATAAATATAAAGTTACAATCTTCACAAAGAAGACAAGTACACAACTTCATTGATACTAGGAAGCGATGCCTACTTTTATTTTATTTTATCTTTTCATTAAAAAAAACTGTCTGGATATGGAGGAAACAAGTCTAGAAAGGATTATGCTTCGCCTTTATGCGAAACAATGTCGTTATCTTTTTACCACAAACCATCTCCCTTGATCGCATAAGGAATAATCAACAATCAAGATACTAATTGTTACCAAGTCAGAATTCACTACAAATAGGAAAACATGCAAATGTCTTCAAATGAACATTGTTGGCACAAGTGTAATGGAACCAAAGTGTAACTGAAAACATGCAAATGTCTTCAAATGAACATTGTCTATAAATACAGGCTCAACATACATTAGAATCTAGCTTGCAACAAAGAGTACATATAAGAAAATAAACCTGAATCCTGAATTACTAATTACTACAAGCATTTAAGAATAAACGTCAGAAAGCAAGCAAAGCACAAGAGAGTAAACCTTGTGCCATGGATGAGGTTTTATCTGCGGAAACTTAAATTCAGTATAATTTGGGTTCATGCACTTTATCTCTTCCCTTGTAGGAGTTCCCAAAACCTGAAATGATAAAAAAAAATGGAATTGTAATTTTAGAGATTTCTTTGGGGAAAAGTGAATTACAAAATCAATAGTATCAATACATTACAATAAAGGAACTAGAGAAATCTAAACAACAAAATGTATATCTAAAGTAAAATTCTATCAGGGCCAAACCAAGAAGAGTTAATCAAGCTTTGAGAATTATCTTTACAATCAAGACTAGATATAACTGCACAAAATCAAAACAAATATCCCTTTCACTGAGTTAGAACGTAGAGGAACAAGTCCAATTCCCCAAAACATGTACAATTTCTGGCAGAACCAACTGAATTTGTTTTGCATATAAAGTCTGGTTCAAATGGTTCACACATCTATTGAAAATGAAAGAATTACATAATTCTTGCATGGCCAAATCAAGACTAATTGAAAAACAATGATTGTAAATCCTCATCTTGATGATTTCAACTAGCTGAGAAGTCCACTCTCTCCAGGATAAAATGGTTCACACATTCATTAAATATGAAAGGATTACATAATTCTTGCATGCCAAATCAATGACTAACTGAAAAACATGGATGGTAAATCCTCACCTTGATGATTTCAACCAGCTGATCAACTCCACTCTCTCCAGGAAACAAGGGCTGCAATTTAAGCTGAATTTCAGGGAAACAAGAAAGACAACAGAAAACAAGGAAATGAGAGATGGGAAAGTGTCATATCACCTGTCCAAGAAGTAATTCAGCCATTACACAACCAGTTGACCATATATCTATGGCCGTTGTATATTCAGTGGCACCAAATATAAGTTCTGGGGCACGATAGTATCTTGAACAAATATATGAAACATTAGGTTCTCCTTTCACCTGATAAATTAGAACAAGAATGAAACTTGAGTGGTAGAAAAGTAACTTCCATCAATCATCCATTCAATTGGCTTTATATCTTACCAACACTTTTGCACTCCCAAAATCACAAAGTTTCAACTGATGTGTGTGTGGGTTCACCTGCCAAGAGAACACACATTTGAGAACAACCAAGAGTAACTGACTAAATGATGCAGACAGAAGTGGTATACATTATATCATCTTCCAGTTGGATTAAGCAATTTCAATATGATTGCCATAAGACAATGAGAATGAAACATTGTCTTAGTTCAATATTTGGCCATATTGTTATCCACTAACCAGAACTTTATATTGTCGCAGAGAAAGCCAGAGAGAGAAGTATTTAACTATTTAAGAAATCCTGTATTTTTCCTCTACGTGTCAGATTTCTTACATGGTGCCCATATTGCATATACAATCAATTCTATGGAGATATACATGGAAGAAACAAAATAAACAAGGCACCACACAGTCCCAGGTTTGTTTTGCAAGCAAATTTTAAATAAATATATACAGTAGATAAATACTAAGAATGGCAATGTTCAGTATTTCTCTTATTATAGTATAGATTATAAAACCTTCACATTTCATTCACAATAGAGGAGAACAGACTCCAGCAGAGAGTGATATAATAAAGTTTTAAAAAGTGACAGTTTGGATTATCTACGCTCCATAATTTGAACCAGAAAATAATGACATGAGATACCAGCATGCATAAAGCTGTGTGACCATCTATACTCTTAGTAATATAAAGCCGTATTTGTACAGCTTGTCTCTCCATCTAATAGTTCAAGCTTTTGGGAAGTAGGTCCTACACATGCTAAACTAGCTTCTTTGGCCAAGATTAGAGAGATAAAGCCAGTTAAGGTATTGCCCTCCAATCATTTGCAAGAGTTTGTCATTCGCATGGACAAATAATTTAGTATATAAAGTAAAGTAAGCATTCATAAAACAATACATTCAAGTGTAAGCCCAAGCATCGGAGAAAAATTTAAGACATCACCAAATGATCAAAGTAAAAAACAATTGAAAATCAAACCAAACAAGTTGTAAAAACAATCTTCCATAATTATCTCAGAATTGTGGTTGGGCCTAACTCAACCTTACAAACCCCACTTTTAAGGTGAGGGTTGCCTTCACTTATAAACATATGTCCAGGCCATAAATTGTCCGATGTGAGACTCTTTAACAAATTATTTATTATGATCATTATGTTTCCTTCCCGTGTGGATTTATATTGATGTGAGAGCGTTGAAATGTTTCAACTTCCAAATTAGCATGTGAAAAAACAAGGTCATAATAAACAAGCCCATCATGAAGAATTTGGTAAAATTAATGAGTCCAGCTTAAAATAAAATTCAGTTATTCAGATAATGCCTTACAAGTAGGTTCTGAGGTTTGATGTCACGATGACAGATTCCGATGCAATTGTGTATGTAAGCAAGGGCCCTGCATATCTGCAGCCAAAATCAGAGAAAAGACAGAAATTTGTCAACATACATAAAAAAACTACTAGGGATTATTGTAGAAACTGCATACTTCTTTTATGACCGAGACAAAACAACCAGGCAGAATTTAAAAAAGCTAGGTTTTCATGGGCTGGTCATATATTACTTTTATAAATCTTATAACGCGCAGAGTGTAGTTTTTAAATAATAATTCATCAAATATTTTGGGAGACTGTGACTTGCTATGGTATAATGCATTTCCAGCTTTCCGTTCTCAAAGCAACTATATACCTGGTACGTATAAAGTTTCACGTATATTAAAGGCATTCGCTGGTTAATCCTGCTATAGTTCCTCGCAATACGATTCACGGTTTCAGGAACGTATTCTAGTACAAGATTCAAGTAAAGCTCTTCTTTGTCGGTCGCTGAAAAGAAACAATGCCTCAGGGCGACAATATTTGGATGGTCCAGCATTTGCATAATCTGTAACTCTCTATTCTTGTAACGCTTGTCCTGGAGAACCTTCTTGATGGCAACAATCTCTCCTGTTTCTCTACATTTTGCCTGATGACAGCATTAATTAATTAGTTGAATGAATGAAAAAGATGCCTGTATGTGATATAATATAATAATAACAGCATGAATTTGCAAAAAAAAATAAAAAATCAAAAGCAAACTAAGTAGCTCTGCTGCCTCACTTGAAAAACAGTGCCAAAAGAGCCTGTCCCGACTACGTGTTCCGCGATATAACTAACATTCTGTCAGCTCCAAAAAGAAAAATTGTCACTGAATTTCTTAGTTCACACTAGTTCAAATATGATACAATACAACACCACAACCACAAGAGTTTGGCAATAGTAAATGGCCCAGGAAAATTCCTGACCTGCTTAGATTGACCATTTCGTCCAGCAATGCTGGTTCGTATTACATGTCCTGTTTCAGCACCGACGCCATCAATGATATCTGGCTGACTCTCCTGCAAAGTATAAAACAGTGGCAACTGAATTGAGTTGGAAAATAAACAAAGAAATCATCAAATTGAGTTAAGTCTGCAAGTACTTACTCTGTCATCATCATCATCATCATCATCATCATCATCATCATCATCAAGGTCATGGTCAACTTTGTCTCTGAGCCTCATCTCAAGCATCTCTCTCCCAAGCCAATCAACAGAACTTGAAGAACCTCTTAAAGCAGACCTAGAACTACCAACACCACCATTTCCATTTCCATTTCCACTTCCAAGGCTAGCAGAAGCCATGTCAACCACCAGTCACTCAATCGAAAACAGTTGAATACTAGTAAATTAGCTACTAAATAAAGCAAAACAAGAATTAGATTTGATCAGATCTAGTAAGAATTAGACTTGATGAGAATGAAAATGAAAATCACCTGGAAGTGGAAGTTGAAGGAATTGTGATGATCAGAATGGGAGCACCGGACTTGCATTTCACTTTCTGATTCCGACGATCAATCGGATGATCGCAAATTCAATCTACTTTACTCTCTCTTTCTCTCCAGATCTTGCAATTTTCCCTCTTACTACTATTTATTCTAACTTTTTTTAATAATAATTTATAAATAGATACAAATAAAAAACAACAATAAATATTTTCTTTTTGTTTTGAAAATCTAACTGTATAGTAATTTGAAATCTCAACTATAAATAAATATCATATTCATTTTTCAAAAACTCAAACTAACTAGTATAAAAATCATGTTTTATTCCATGGAATAGTAGTATCGTGTTAATATTAATTATATTAATTAAAGATTAAAATTCATTAAAATTTTAAATCTTAAATCATTATACATATTGAGTATGGCATTAACACCTAAGAAAAGCTAGTAAGACATTTTGAACAACAATTTAATATTTAGTAAATTTGGAATTATACAATTTCATAATTCAAAAATTAATATTTTACTCATTAATAAAATGTCATATTTTTGTTTGGCCACTTGTAAATATTACATGTGCTTCATCCTCCTCATTATGTTCATTTTTCGATATATGTTATATATTTTTATACAATGTGCAATGGAGATTTGATAAAGATTTTTCATATATCTTATATTAAAGGTTAAAATGGTTCAAAATGTTAAATTGTTGGAGTTCTTTCATTCTTAATTAAAAATTCAAATTAGTCAAATTTAAATTGTGTAATTGACACTGTATCCACACTCAAATTTTAGAAGAAAAGATCGAGAAAATAAGAGAAGGTCTTAATAAGTTAGAATCCAAAAGTGAGCAATTTCCACTCTCTTCAATTAAAGTATCAACTAAACTAGAAGCAATCTCAAATTTGCAAAGACTTTTCAACATAAATTATAGCATTCAGTGGCAAAGATCTAGAGTCAGGTGGTTGAAGGTGGGAGACGTAAATTCTAAATATTTTCATGGAGTCGTGAATAGAAGACAAAAGAAGAAATAAATCGTTTGCTTAATAGTGAATGAAGAAAAAATTAATGAAGTTAGTAAAGTAAAAGGAGTAATCTTTGAATCACTTTAAATCCCAATTTCATAACAGAGACACAAAATTGCATGTGGAGAAATGTGAGTTAAAAAGAACAGTGAAAGGCAAAATAAAAGTCTGTCGAAGATTTTACCGAAGTAGAGGTTAGAACTACGGTTTAGAAATGTGAAAATTCTAAAAGACTGGGTCTTGATGGCATACATTTTTGTTTCATGAAAGATTATTGGGTAGACTTAAAGATCGACTAATGAATATGATGAAAGAATTTCACTCCAATAAATTTCACTTTAATGGTAAACTTGCCAGAGGAATCAATAGTTTGTCCGTTGTCCTTATCTCGTATATTTGACCGCCCTCAAATTTTGAAAAATGGACTTATTTGAACTTTGTAATGGAGAAAATGGACTTTCATGAAAAATGAAGAGGGTGGATTGTAACACCCCCAAATTTTTTAATTATTATTATAGGTATTACTTTTAATATTTTAATAATATTTTATTATTTAATTAATAGTAATTTATAAATGTTAATAATTATATAATGATATTGGTAGTAAAATTAGTATTATTATTATTTGTTTTATTATTATTATTATTATTAGTGTTATTATTATTGATATTATTATTATTATTATTATTATTATTATTATATGAGAAAATAAAGAGTCGATGAGGGTTAGTGAGGAGAGAGAGGTGAAAAGAATTAAAAATGGAAGAATATGGGAATGGGAAAAGGCGGAACATAAAAGAAATAAAAGTCGAGAGAACGAGAAAAGGGAGAAAATGAGGAGAACTGATATAGTGGGATCGTGTTGGAACAAAGTATTTCCAAGAAAGATGATTAATAAAGGAAGAATAAGAAGAAAAGAGAGAAAATGTTATGAGAGTTGTTATTGATCTCAAAATTGTAAAACTGAATTATGGTTGCATTGTAAAATTACAAACTAGCAAGCCCTTTATCTAGGCATACAACTCAGGCCCAATTCGACTATATACAAGTTTTGGTCCAAAACTACATTTTAACATACTGAGGCCCAAAACTACAAAGTTATTGTATTCGATATTGTCGAATACAGCTGATAACCTATCAACATTAGTTATTCGACATACACATATGCTCTTCGACAGAACAAGAATTATATCTCCTAACACACACTTTAATTCATGTTCTCGAGACTTCTCATCCCGATACTTCTCTTTAACTCATCGAGTCTGACTTTTTTCAGAGGTTTGGTGAATATGTCAGCTAGTTGTACTTTTGTCTTGCAATGCTTTAGCTCTAGCTTCCCTTTGTTGACTTGATCCCTAAGAAAATGATACATTTTCTTTATGTGCTTACTTCGACCATGACACACTGGATGATTCGCCAGATCAATCACTGACTTGTTGTCGACAAATAACTTCATCCTATTAGGTTCCATTATCTTGATTTCTTCAAGTAATATTTTAATCCACGGTGCTTGGTATGCAGCATATGATGCAACCAGATATTCTGCTCTGCATGATGACAAAGCCACAATGATTTGCTTCCTCGAGCTTCAAGAGATTGGAACACCTTCAATCAAGAAAATGTAGCCTGCAGTGCTTTTCTTTTTGTCTTGATCTCCACTAAAATTTGAGTCAGTGTATCCTTGAACTTCGACATTTGTGTTGTTCTTTGACTTCTTTGGCAACAACACACCATGATCAATTGTTCCCTTTATGTATCTCAACACCCTTTTTACTTCAATGAGACCATACTCTTGGGGTTTCTCCATAAATTGACTCAATAATTCGACACTTTGGCAGATATCTAGTCTAGTATTGCAAAGATACCTCAAGGATTCAATGATTTATTTGTATAGGGTCGAACTTACAAACTCATCATTTGTTTCCTTTTTCAACTTTGCTCCAGTTTCTAATGGAGTGGCAGCTGCATTACAATTTCTCATTTTGAACCTCTTCAGTATATCTTGGGCATATTCCATTTGATGCAAGAATACTCCTTCTTCAGTATTTTTGAATTTCATCCCCAGGAAATATGAAAGATTCCCTAAGTCTGACATATCAAATTCTTGCATTAGTTTTGACTTGACTTTCATTATCTCAACTTCGTCTGCTCCTGTGATTAGTAAATCATTTACATAGAGGCATAAAATGATTTGAATAACCTTGTAGTCTCAGTTCTTACTTTTATCGACCTTCTAGCATTCTGCTCAGATGGTTCCTCATTTTGACTAGTTGATGTATCATCTAGTTTATTTCGATTGGTTGAAGCCTCTTCTTGATGATCTTTTTCAAACACAGTTGTGATTGTATCTGATTCACGTCAAATTAAACCTTGACTCTAGTCCCGCCCTTTGCTTTCATCCACAAGAACATATCGACTAATCATAAGTATGTCATCGTTTGGAGAATACAACTTGTATGCATCAGTCGAATAATAACCTATGAGCACCATGATTTTACTTCGGTCATCCAGTTTCTTTCTTAATTGTTCAGGTACATACTTGAAGCATATTGATCCAAAAACTCTAAGATGAATCACATTTGTCTTCGACCTTGTCCAAGCCTCATAAGGTGTTTTTCTGACCATCTTCTTCGTCGGGCACTTGTTTAGAATATATATTGTTGCCGAAGCTACTTCAGCCCAAAATCTTTTAGGTATATCTTTAGCTTTCAACATACTTCTCGTCATGTTCAGTATACTTCTATTCTTTCTCTCAGTTATGCTATTATACTGAGGTGTATAGGATGCAATAACCCCATGCTCTATACTTTCCTCATTGTAAAATCTAGCAAATTCAGCATAAGTATATTCATCACCTCCATCAATTCTCAACTTCTTCAACTTGCATTCACTTTGTTTCTCAGCATGCAACTTAAACTTCTTGAATTGTGTGAATACCTCACTCTTCCTTTCAATAAGGTAAATCCACATATGTCTGGTGAATTCATCAATGAAAGTAAGGAAATACTTATTACCTCCATTTGACTTTACTTCAAAAGGTCCACTCACATCAGAATGAACCAACTCCAATTTTTGCTTAGATTTCATGGGCAAGTCATATTTGAATGCTTTCCTAGCCGGTTTTGCTTTGCAGCATTCCTCACATACCTGCTTTGGTTCCTTTAATAAGGTGACCCAAATACCATCCTTTGTTGGTTGAGCATACTTAAACTTTGAAGTTTGAATGTCTATACATGTGGTGCCATAGCCAGTTCTCATCTTCTTCTGTAGTTAAAACAAGACACTTGTGATCTGATGTGTTGAGTTCAACTTTGAAGGTTTTGTTTTCTTCTAATTGTGCTTTCGTTATTAGCCTCTTATTAGCCCTATATACCTTTATCTGATTCTTTTCTAGCTTAATATTGAAACCTTTTGCAAATAATTGAACTACATTTTATCAAGTTACTTATCATGGAAGGTACATACAATACCTCAGTGATGGTGTCCTTTCGAACATCCTTTCTGACAATCGAAATATCTCATTTACCACCTGATTTGATGTGTCTTCCATCTGTAAACTTTATCACCTTTTCGACTGACTCATCTAACTTGGTAAACCAATTTTTATTGACAGTTATAAGGTTGTTGCATCCTGAATCCAGATACCACGTGTTATTTTTATCACTATTCGAATGGGTGTTGACCATTAACAACACTTTATCATAATCACTATCTCCAGCTCGTGCACATTGAACTTCATCACTCTCTTTCACCCTCGTTGCTTTCTTTCATCGACACTCTCGAGCATAGTGACCAAAACTTTGACAATTGTAACACTGTGTTGCAACTGGTTTTT